ATGGATAAAAGTAAAGAATAGTTCGAACCTTGAATTCAATGACTCAGTATCAAGTGCTCAAAGCTTTAAAATGACATAAAATGTTTCATAAACTATCAAACGCTACTATTAGGTCTTGAAGAAACTTCGTTCATTAAACTTTCAGTACGTAACCAATTCTGTACTCGAGTGTGAGTCAATTTTATTAACCCTTCCAATATATAACAGGAAATAAACACTCATTAACCCAGCCGCATTATTAATTGCCTTTAGCCACTCATTTCTTTTATCTGGTTGACCTATACCTGGTCAAGAGTACAACCTATCATCTTAACTTTGTCTTATCTCCATTAATTAAGATGAAATTCCTATCTTCACGTTTACAGATGACAGTAAGATGCAAGATAGGCCAATTTTAGTAATGATAAAAAATATTTTTTATTTGGGTTTTTAGTGTCATGTTTTTTTTGTCACTAATATTATGAGTTCCCATAACATATTACTTACTGATGTTAATAGTTTTAGTTCCGTTGATTATGGCTGACACAAGCAACAACTCAAAAGAAAACGATAAACATAATGACATGGATAAGAAGGGAATACCAAAGGCTGAGTTCATCGAAGATGTAGATGCTTACATGAAAGCCAATAATTTTTCAACTCTTATGGAAGCTGGGCGTTCTTTTGAAGAATTATATCAAAAATATAAAATTATTGAACAGGCTCTATTGCAGCGTAAAATAAGATTAATGCAACAGTTACCAGATATACAGAAAACTTTAGCTGTTGTCCGACAATTACAAAAACAAAATACTAATTTAGACGTAACTTTTGAAATATCTAACCAGTTATATACACGTGCTCATATTCCCAAAGCAGATAGAGTTGGTTTATGGTTAGGTGCCAATGTCATGTTAGAATATGATCTAGAAGAAGCTGACAAAATACTCGTTGAAAATGAACAATCAGCTCAACAGTCCCTGCAAGATGTAGATCAAACATTAGAATTTCTTAAAAATCAAACAACTACAGTCGAAGTAAATTTGGCTCGCTTACACAATTTGTCTGTAAAACTTGGACGTCAAAATCAGTCATCTGAAGTGAATGCATGAACAAAAAATCAATATGATGGAATTCTAGCAAGTACTACTTAAGAACAGACTGTCATCTATGAAAATTTCCAGATATTAGTATATATATCATATAAGTTCAATGGACATCTTTATGTGTACATTACGTAGGTTTACTTGGTCTTACATTTTTCTGAAAAAAACTACTCTTCATACGCAAACTGTAAAGTGTCTCAACAGCTATTTAAAGTTAAGCAATCTCTTATTTTTCTCACTGAATATTTAGTTCTATGTTTTATATACCTCTATTGTTTCTAGCGGTTGCTTCAGTGAACCACAATCTCATTACACTACTTGTTTTCAGTCAAAGCAGTAAACTGTAAAAAAACACAGTCGAAATCTTTTTTTCGTGTGTAGACGCTCTATCACTTACTGTCGACACATTACTCTAAATGATGTATAAATCTTTTACATATTGCTTTGAATTTTTGTTTAATAGTGATATTAATAAAATCTGTACCAATAACTTTTCTCATTAACGATAAGATAAAAAATTTTATGGTATAGAGAATTAAGTTGTAAGAAAGCCAGGGGCGACTAGACCAAAACATGTCACAAATCCATGAAATCACTGAACCATATTAGTGGATGTAGACTACTTGGTTAGGATCCGCAAGACGATAGTAACTGATGGTTAGAGATTGTGACGACGGACCACGAGTGAACTCTAGGAAGCTGTAGGAGGCTCGGAAGGAGCCGAAGTTATTCCATCCAATCACCTTTTGAAGGAATATTCTAGAATTCCCACATGTAGCTTCCCGATTGGACAATGCTAATAACCCCTTGTATGCGGATTGGAGGACTGTAATGATGATTTCGTTCTTACTAAAAACTATAAATACCTGGAAGTTTTGTACTATAATTGACACTGTCTGAGAATAATATTCCTTTCATTAGTCTTCTGTCTTCTCATTGAGACTTGGCAGGCTTCTGGCTTTCTACTGCTCATGTTATACGCGGTTTATCAAGAACAACCTTCTAGATATAAGAGACTTTAAATGACATGGCTCAAAATTGTTTGTAATGGTGCATGTGCATCCACTCTGTGTTCTCCCGAATTCTAATCTTCTGAATTCTTCATATCCCTTTATTTTTACTCTTTCCAAACTTATTTCACTGGATTATACTCCTTGAATAACATCTTCAAACCCTAATGTTTCTGATTGCTACTTACACTTTTACTACCTTTACTACTATGGGATATGAATCGACAATCGTATCTGTGTGCTAATGTGGTATGGCAACTCAAACTGATGTACGTACGTAGGAACTTCTACGTTGTTGACTGACTGATAAGATAAAATATCTATGGGTAACGTATTCTATAAGTCTTCAGGCTTACTCAAATAAATTTACAGCTTAATTTAATTTTGTAATGGCTTTTATTACCCCGTCGTCGAATATTTTGACTGAAAATTGATCAGTCCTAATGGACATATATTAGCAGGATACCATCAGCAACAGCCTTCTGTGGGAGAGAGCAAACCAGTTTCCAACTGAAGAAGAAATTAGGAAAAAATGATGGAAATGGATAGGAAATACATTACGTAACTCATCAAACTACATCACGAGGCAGGCCGTAACTTGGAATCGTGATGGGAAGTGGAAAAGAGGAAGGCCAAAGAACACATTACGTCGGGAAATAGAAGCAGATATGAAAAAGATGAATAAAAACTGGAAGGAGCTGGAAAGGATTGCCCAATACATGGTTGGGTGGAGAATGCTGGTGAGCGGCGTATGCTCCTTCACGAGGAGTAACAGGCGTAAGTAAGTAAGTAATGGACATTTATGCATCCTATACAGATTGCCACAATATTCGCCATTATGGGATAGATGGAATGTGGGTAGCTATACAGACTTGTGACATAATGACTATAGTAAAGCAATTTCCACAGAATACACATGTGTCAACTAAGACTGATCAAATTTAAGTCAAAATATTCGACAACTAGATAATCCAAATCATTAAAAATTAAATTACAGCTAATACCCGTGGCGTCAGTAACTGGCTCTGTGAACTCAATTACTGGTTAAGTAAATAACTCATTGGTGTTTGGATGGGAACGTCTTGGGTTTGAATCTCGGAGTGAACATCAACTTGGAGATGCAAGTGTATCCAAATGAGAACTCCTAAGTAGGATGAAACTCATCATGGATTCCACTGATAGCTACATTCCATCTATTCTATATATACACCGAAATATTAGTTAAATTTGAAGACAAGTTGAAAGAAAAAATTTTTTCCATCATGTCTTGGATGTCCTCTTAGTCAAACAATTGTCTAATAAACAAGCAATCTCAACTCATTGGTTATGCACACCACTATACCATTTTCAAGACATTTGTTCTTCTCTGCCTTGATGCATGAGATCATAAGTTACTGTTTTCGTTTTACTCACCTCAATTGGTCGTTAAGGCGACATGTGTATTACTTGTTCAATGTAAGGTTATGATCATCTATTTCGCTATACGTTCATACGCTTTATTCACTAAATAGTGATAAACTAATGGCGCATTTCCTTGTCTTAATAATCATATGGTTAACAGTCGGGTTTGTCAATTAAATGAAAAGGAATTATGCTTTGACTGATGGATACTAAATCAATTCTAAGTTTGTCAACAAAGTCGTATGCATATATTCATCAAGACTTTTCAGTAGCTTCTTAACAGTTATAAATTCACTTGCTGTCGTTTACTTGTCTCTTCCAATTGTTATTTAGGACTGCAATTGATCAGTCTCATATTGGCATAAGTGCATCCTGTGCGGATTGCCTCGATATCGCCTTAGATCCCAAGCTTTATAAGCAAAGATGAATAGTAGTTAGCAGTGGAATCCAGGACGCGTGTTTCGTCGCATTTGGGACCCGTCATCTGGATTCACCTGCATCACCGAGTTGATGTTCACCCCTGGCATCGAACCCAGTACCGTCCGCTTCAAACGCCATTACATTATCCATTTAGCTACTGGGTCCTGATAGCCACTTGCTTGTACAATGGAGTGAAGCTTAAATTTACTTAGTATTGTTTGCTTATATCTTTTATCATCTGTCCATCCTAGGCAAAGTTTTGAAATACGTTTGAGTTGAAGCACAACTAAACTGATACGTAATGTTTTAGCTTAAGGTGCACTCAATTACATCGTCTAGCAGGATATGGCATTCAGAAAGGTCGGTTGCATAAAAATATTAGTTGGCATGATTTGTGATTACTTCCAGTACTTGATCAGAAGCCTGCATTAGTTTCCTAAGAATTTTATTATATCTCTAATCACATACGCTTTGCTTCATTGAACTTAGAGGCTTTCTTATGTTCTCGAGTTATCAGTTATCAACCGAAGAGATGTACTCCATAATCTATGTGGATAGTTGTTTATGACATTCGTTTAAACAACAGTGTGATGTGAGATGTTAATACTTATTACTTTATCACATGTTTATCTTCGAAATAGAAAAAAACGTTTAGTATCCGTTATTTATTCTTGAAAATGTTTAGAGAATTCACCTCGTAACAAGTAGAGGTGTTGCACATTGGACTGATGTATATATATGTCTGGTCCTACATTGTAGCTGACTAACTAAAGTAGAATACTTCAATCGACTTGGTCTGCACAATTAACAATGTCTTTTTTTTTATAGGTGAACACAACAAAACTTCGTTTTCACTATATGTCGGTTCGCAGTAGGAAAGTATCTAGGATACTTTTCTTATATTCTAAATATAGAGTCTTGTTTCGGGATTGGTTTAAATCTGTATCTATTTAAATAACTGCATGATACTTTAGCTTCAAATGACTCATGATCTCAACTATTGAAATTACAACAATCTCCACAAAACCCCTTCTGATAAGAATCGACATATGCTCACTAATGACTGGCTTCAAGAGGTATTTCATGGAGTTCTAGTGAGAAGCAGTGACCAATGGATTTCAACCGGGTCTGTTATGAGATAGTAACTCATTGAAGATGGATGTGTCGCTCAATTTAGTGGATTGGTTGAAGTTAGACATTAACAGCGTTGGTTGTCGACTCCGTGGTCTAGAGGATTAGCGTTCACACGCGAGACTGATAGGTCCTGGTTTCGAATACCGCAAAGCGGTATCATGGATGCACACTGCCAAGGAGTCCCACAATAGGGACGAAACAGAAAATCTATCATACATAATAAACATAACAAATCAGTACATTTGTATCATAATCTTTAGAGATGTAGATATTATCAAACGACTATACCTACAAAACACGACCATTTCATTTTGTAAAACTCTTGTAAAAGAAAAAATAACTGAACAACTTCAAAGTAGATGTTTACATTATGTTTCTATTGTTTAATCATAGTTCATAGAATCAGAAATGTATAACATAATGGAATGTTTTGAAGATCATCATCATCATCACATATTAGAATTGTCCTGAAGTAATCATCTTTGAAATGTTAAGTTTTTTGATTTGATGTATTTCAATTCTAATGAATGATCATTTATAGTATTTTGTTTATATACTACTTTATTGATATCTGTAAACAAGTTGATTTGTTCAAGAATTCTACGTCCATATAACCTTTATGTATATGAAATGATTGATTAAAACAAAACAAAGAATATATATATTTGAAAACATAATTTTCAAATGAATAAAATATACACTTATAATTTATTGGCACACATAAATATTGGTGCAATTTGGCACTGTGTGTGTAGACTGTGATACTGCTCCGGTGCCTTAGACTAAAACAGATGGTTAATTTAGAGGGTCACATCCAGAGCCTTCAATCTAAGGATCTGATCCAAGAGGTAGTGGAACAACGTTAGGAAATGTAGTCCCATGATATCCGGTGACGAACAATAGGTTCATACGCCATTTGTTCCCTCAGAATGTTTGAATCCATATGCATCATTCGTTTGGAATCTGGGTTTCCCAACTCTCCTAGGTGAATCCTTTTTATCTACCAACTCGGTTAAAGCGCTGGACATTCGCTTTTTGTCCTCTCAATTTCATAAACAACAGTAGTGCTGAAAGAAGGCAGTGAGTAGGATTTCCCTGACAGTGGCTGTATATGTATGGTGATGTGAGAGCATTTTGAGAAAGAGAGCTATCTCTACCCACCCTCGGTTATACCAGGGCCTTTGGGGGGCGAGTTTTGAAATGCATTGAAAATTGGTAGGTTTACTAACAGGCATCAACCTATCTGGCAATTAGTGGTATATATATTTATATATGACACTGATACATTTATTTCATTAACTCACTCTACTTTGGATTGATTTTTTACGATCGCGCCTTTTTATGACGACTTTATGCAAGTCCTCCTTATTCCCTTCACTTGACAGAAAATTAAACTGATTATAAATGTCTGGGATTACGTATGATACGTTTTACTAGGGTTGTGCACATATATTCCAGGATTCTGAGGAAACGGTATATATAATCCTATTTTGACCACCGGCTATCATGTTAGTATGTCTTCTAATATTTCTTCATTGTCTTGTGAATTAGACTTTTAGGCTCAAGGCTGTAGTCTACAGTAGACTACCTACTTCATTTTTGGCACTGGGGTGATAGTATTATAACCCTCACATAAACCAAGTACTAAAGTATATTGCTCTATGAACACATACTGGATAAGTTTATGTTATTAGAAACTATTTTGTTAATATCACTTTATCTCCCTATTCACATTTATCTTGGCATACTTTTGTTTCACTGATAGAAATCATGAGTCGATTGAAGCTAAGCCACCATGAAAAACTTGGAAGCACTGAATGGCCGTTTCACCCTATTTTGATACTCTTCAGCAGTGGACATCCATGATACCGCTTGCGAGATTTGAAACCAAGGCCTTCAGTCTCGAGCGCGAACCACTAAACTAGCCGACATCCAATGGTGTTAATGTCTAACATCAACTAATCCACGAAATTGCGCAACCATCTTCCATTGTACTGAAGTAGATTCCTGTGTCTACCCGACATGGATTAGCTTCATTGGTCACAGCTTCTTATTAGAACTTCGAGAATTCCCTCACGAAGCTAGACACTAGTGAGCAGATGGTAATTAACAGTATAAAGGTTGTGAAGATTATTATGTTATTGATTAAGATGTTGAATCGATTGATGTTAGACCATTATTGAAAACCTGAAAGCATTGAATAGCTGTTTCGTTCTATTGTGTAACTCCTCAGCAGTACACACTCACGATCGTGGGATTTGAACCCAACTCTTGAGTTTCACAATCCTTATACTAATAACGATTTATTCAACAGTTACACCTCCAGTCACACAAACAAAAACATGAATGTTTCCATAGTGATTTTTTGTTAAACTAACCTTGTACTAGAAATTTTATCATGAATTAATTGTTTTACAATTTTCATTAATTGATTCATTCCATTTAATCCTAATTGTTTAAATAATAATATAATTTTCTTTTTATTATTATATAATATAAAATTTAATAATTGACTAATTGTATTACGTTTGATATCACTATGTATATATTTTTCCCATAAATGTTTACAAAATATATGGATAATCATTATATGATCTATACAGGTTATCAATTGTTTTAATGATTGATATGATTGATTTTGTAAAAATTTTTTACTAGAATCTTCACTAATACCATTAAATAAAGTTATTATTAATGATATTGCATAAGGATTTAATAAATGACCTTGTTGAATAGTATTTAAATAAAGACATAATTGTTCAATAATTTTTAAACCTTTTAAAGAAACCTAAAACAAGAAAGAAAGAAAGAGAATGACTATTGAAGTAAAGAATTTACAAAAAAAAGTTAATTAAATTATAAATCGGGTGAATATATAAAGTGTGACTGAGGTTGATGAAAGTTAGTTGTCTTTCTTGAAATACTCGCACATGACTACGTTATTTTTATTTATTTATTTATTTCAACACATAGATAATGGTACAAAGAGGCATCAAATACATATGCACCACACAAATCTCATTCGATATGTGTGTGAGGGATGTGATACTGCCCGGTTGCCCAAACTGAAGCAGGTGGTTTTCTTAGGGGGCCACACCCCGAGCCTTCGACCTGAAGGTCTGATCCACAAGACAGTGGAACATCGTAAGGAGATGCAGTCCCATGGAAGCCGGTGACCAACAATTGGTTCATTCGCCATTTGTTCCCACAGGATACTGGAGCCCATGTGCACCATTGGTTTGGAATCCGGTTAAAGCGCCGGACATTCGCTTTTCGTCCTCTCATTTTCGTAAACAACACCCCCGCCACGAGAAGGCAGTGAGTAGGACTTCCCTGGCAGAGGCTGTATACGCGCGGCCGTGTGAGAGTATTTCGAGAGGGAGGGAGGGCCCACCCCACTCTCGGCCGTACCAGGGCATTTGGGGGCTACGTGCATACAACCACTTCCAGTGAAGTTTCGTTCACCGCTTTCTCGTTACATTACTAATGTTTACGAAGTTTAGAGGACGAAAAGAGAATATCCGGTGCCTTAACCGAGTTGATGGACACTGGGGATCCACCTAGGGGATTTGGAAAACCTTCATTTCAAACCAATGGTGCATATGGGATCCAAGATCCCGAGGGAGTAAATGGTGTATGAACCAAACGTTGGTGACCGGCTATTATGGGACTGCATCTGCTGACATTGTTACAATGCATCGTGGACCATTAGGTTAAAGATTCGGCGTGTGGCTCCCTAAGAAAACCACCTGCTTCGGTTCGGGCATCCGGATAATATCACAGCACACACACACACACAAATCAAGTGACTTGTGTGCCCCATATTTATTCCATGCCCCACCATTCCGGAGCTTAAAATAAATTAAGGTACGCCAAGGTTATAACAAACTATTGTACATATAGAATTGGCTTATGTTTTCTTACAGTCATTACCTCTATAAACTCAAGAACACTCGATTGACAAATTTTATAGAAATTGTTAGAAGATGTTTCGAGGTTCATTCCTTGACTTGTTTTAATTGTGGTTCTTAATCTTTGAGTTTATCGAGGCATTTGAGATCCAATGATCGTTAAGCCATTTTGGTACATGTTCCATTATAGTTGATTTTAAAGTTCGATTACTCCTATCTATGTATGTGTCCAAATATCACTCTGCTTTTACTGAACCTTCTAATCAATTGATGTTTCATAGTTTTCAAATGAAAATGTCTTGATGAGCATATAGATGTGACCAGGCTGTTCGAAATATATACCTCTAGTGTATCACATTTTCCAGATAAAATTAGTCTAGTCATTTGAAGAAAAACGTTATTGGTTCGAGGGTGAACATCAACACTGGGATACAGGTACATCCTTCTGACGAGTCTTGAACAGGATGAAACGCGTGTCTTGAATTCCACCACTGGTCACTAGCTGATTCTGTTTAAAATGCATGCAACTTAATGGAAAGATTAAGGTGATTTAGTTAGAATGTACATACGTCAGAAAGACTGTATATGGAATCTGTTGGGATGAGATTCAATCTAACGTAATAAAGTAGTGTTTTTAATATATTGATACCAATTTAATTGTCATCATTTTATCTAAGCACATGCCGTCTGGCTTTGGCATTACGAACATAATGTCTTCATCAGATATCAGCAGTCTATCGGATAGACGATGGTTGAACATCAAGTGTCACCGAACATCTTTAGCTCGTAAAGACTAGGTTTTACAAGCACTGAACTCTCATCAACAAGGATGATGTGATGAGTAATTATAGGAATGAAATTACTGTAAACAAATGTATTTATTCCCCTTTCAGTTCGACGCCCATGTAATATCAAGCTTTTTTTAAACTCTGAGTAAACCCTATTTAACCATTATTCCAGTTTAAGTGTCGTACGTTTGATTTTTTGAGAATGTTCCCGACACGTATAGGCAGTGAGTAGGAATCCCCATTCAAAAGCTATAAACTAGTAACCTTGTAAGATCATTTTGAAAAACAGAACTAATTCTTCCCACTTACTCTTGTCTAGGAACTATCAGGCATTGATGGATTACTATGATACCCGACTCATGTTTCATTCACTGAACGAACGGCAAATTCATTTCTGACAACTCGGTAAGACTATAATTTATGGACAACCTTTGAACGACATCAAAGTGAGAGTGTCTAACTACTTATTAGGGCTAAATGAAGGTAATAAATCAGTTTGAATGATAAGTATTATGATTTACAGTTGGTGTTTAATATTAGGAATTAGATTTACGATTTTTCATTACAAAATGACATCAGCTAAAATGTCAAGACGATATTTAGCCAAATGGGTGAGTGAATTGCGAGCAAAATCCGAAACCTGTTATCTTATACCTGATTAGGTCGTCCATAAATTATAGTCTCACCGATAACTCTTAACATTCTCAAGTTCTCAGTCGGCAACAACGTAGAAGTTCGTACGTACGTACATCAATTCGAGTTGCCACACCACATTACCACACAGATACAATTGTCCATTCAAATCCCTTAGTGGTAGAGGTAGTTAAAGTATAAGCAGTAACAGGAAACATTAGGGTTTGAATATGTTATTCAGGGAGTATAATCCAGTGAAATAAATTTGGGAAGAAAGGGACATGAAGAATTCAGAAGATTAGAATTTGGGAGAACTCAAAGTGAATGCACCTGCGCCATTGCAAACGATTTCGAGCCATATCATTCAAGGTCTCTAACCATCAATTGTTCTTGTCTCGCTGATCCCAACCAAGTAGTCTACACCTACCAACATGGCTCAGTCCACTTATCTCAGTAACTTCATGGATATGTACCATGTTTTGGTCTGGCCGCCCCTAGCTTTCTTCCAACCTACTCCTACACCATAAAACATCACACGTCGAGACAGTCGGTAGTTGGACATACATAATACATATCTTAACTGATGAAGTTTCACTGCAAATTTCTTATCATCTATACACAACATAATCAATAGCTTACCTGTGAACGTAAACATTTAATAGCTTGTTCAATTCCACCAACAAGCATATTTATATTTTTTGAATCACTGAATATTATCTCTAATGGTTTAACATTCATTGTTTCAAGTAAATTTTCTATTATATCTATAGCTTTAATTTGTTCTTCCCAATTATTAGATGTAATATATTCAAGAATTTGTTCTTCTATTCTTATTGGCTTATTGTTCCTTTTAGAATGATGAATCATTTTCTTTATAACATGTGAATCATTTTGACTTCCCTCTTTATATGATGATGAGTATTTGGATTTTTGCTGTGTTGAATTACTTTGCTTCTCTTGACTGTTTATATCAATACAAAATATGAAATATAATTTAATCATAATTAGAGTTAAGATATTCATTAGTATTTAGTATTACATTATATATTATTACATAATAGTATTCACAATTGATTGATCACTGAGTGGTTATCAATGTCATGTGTGCCAAATCCTTATGCAGTGCAGATCGAATGCTATCGAACATGTTGCAATGTGGCCAACAGTCTAGGCGACTCGACATTGCGTGCACTATGTTAAGATTAGATGGTGGTTGGAGGTAGTCAACAGGAAACCCTGGACCCGGATTTCGTGCTAATGTCAATATATAGTGCACGCAGTGTCAAGTCACCTAGACTGGTAGCCACATTGCAATATGGTCGATAGCATTCGATCTGCAGTACATAAGGATTTGACACACATGACATTGATCACCACTGAGTGATCAATCAATTGTGATTACATCTCAGTACTACAGGAGGTCAGTCGCCGCTCAGATAGCTCAGTGGTAACGTTTCTGACTGTGAAGCTGGATAAGACGGGATTGAATCTTTCAGGGAGCACCAGTTCCCTCAAGATTACAGGTACACCTTGCTGACGAGTGCCGAGTAGCACGAAACCCGGGTCTAGGGTTTCCTGTTGACTACCTCCAACCACCATCTAATCTCAATAATAGTATTACATAACAGTATTTAGTATTACGTCATATAATCTCATGTATCAGCGTGAAATAGATTACTTACTTACTTACTTACGCCTGTTACTCCTCGTGAAGGAGCATAGATTGGAATAAATAAATCACAGTCCGTGGACAATTGTATTGATGTACGCTGATTGGTTATTTGTTTTATCCAATCAGCGCTAGTCGATACTTGGAGAAGATTCAAGAAACTTCTCATGTAATAACTATAAATATACTAATGTTTTTCTTTTTATTATGCTTCTTACTTTCATCTACCCATGTTATTTGGAATATGATTTCATTACTGTTCAATCGTGTTATGATTTGGGGACTTGTCGAGTGAATTGATGTCCAAGAATATTAAGCAATAGGAATAGATTTGTCGTGATAAAAGAGAGAATTATAACACATGGCAAGTAAACAAAATATATGGAGTTGACATTTGAAGAACTAACACAACGGTAATTAGAAATGTACAAGTACTTATAAATAACTGTCTACGTATGATACTCCAAATCAATTGACTGACCAAAGACTATCAACAATAATCTACTATCGCAAAGAATAAACTAGTTTATGTTTGAGGGGAAAACTAGGAAAACATTCTGGAGGTGGATAGAACACACTTTGCATGGAAAAGCAAGTTCTAACTTTTCGTTTTCAAGGGAGAAGAAAATGAGAAAAGCTAAAGAAAAAATATATGACTCCACAAATGGGAGGCAGACACTGAGGGCATAAAGAACACTTGGTGACAACTAGAAATGAGAGTTCAAGACAAAATATGTTGAAATCATGTAACAGAAATTAGAGTTAATCAGTAAAATGTCTTGAATGTTATCCATAATCCATCCTAGAATCGATTAAACTGAATTTCACAGATTCATTTATAATTTAAAGATTGTTTTACACTCCAAATGTTAATCATTTGCTCACTCATATTTAACTTTGATATAGACGTCCTTAAGTTCAAATAGGAAGTACTGGCAACCTGTAGAGCTAGTCAAAATTGGAAGTTAGATAATAACCCAAAGATAAAATTATATCAAAACTGACTAGAATTAAGAACTATGATCTGTTAATTTGTGAGCTCTGTGAAGATTTATGTTCCTTAGGCTTGATAATGATTGATCCCGTTTATAGGATTTGGCTAATTTTTAGTGTTTCGACTCCTTTCATTTATTGTGACTAGAAAAGCTGATAATGTTAAAACTGAAATAATGAACATTAAACGTCATATATTGAGATACATTGATCAATTTGCAATATGGCCACCACTTTAAATGACTAAATCTCGTATGCACTTTATCGTGATATTAGGTAATTTATGGTTTATATCCTACAAAGAGCTTCAGCCCTTCTCCCCTCCGAAGTTGCAGATATCGCTTGATGATGAGTACTAACTAGCACGAAACTTAGATATAGGGTCTTCTTCCGATTATTCGTAATCACCCAATATCATGATATAGCGTCACTCAGGCTGGTATCCACAGTGTAAAGTGATCTATGGAATTGATTAGTACCTAGACCTATAGAAACGAATATGCCATTGGTTACTATTTAATGATCAATCAATGTAAACATTGACAAGTTGAGATTTCTAACGACAAAATGTTTAGCTAAATATAGTCTACATTTTGACAAGTATTCAGATATCTAATCGAAGGTGTGTACATTTGAATATTTGCTTCCCTATGAATATTGAAATAGTTAGTGAGATTTTGAATGGATCGTTGGATGTATACATTTGTGTTTCGCTTCAGTCTCAATAAATGCAACATTCTGAGACTACTAGTTTAACAATTACAAATGAATGCAGACGGTGAACTGTTAACATGGCCTACAGCATTCCGTTGTTGACAGGAGGTTAGAGATTTATCAAAACATAACATTTGATAGGGGGTGCACCAGCTCCAGAATGCCCTGATGCGGTCGAGAATGGGAAACGTATTCTCTCCCCCTCCAAATGCTGTCACATGGTCATGCGTATACAGTCACCACCAGGGAACTCCTACTCACTGCCTTCTTGCAGCAGTACTGTTGTTTAAGAAATTGAGGGGATGAAAAGAGAATGCCTAGCGTTTTAACTGAGTTGGTGAATTTAGAGGATCCACCTAGACGATTTGGTTAACCCTGATTCCAAACCAATGGTGCACATGGGCTCCATGATGGTGAGAGAACAAATGGCGTATGAACTGGCTTACATGAGACTACATTTCCTGACGTTGCTTCACTGCCTTCTGGATTAGACCTTTATTCGAAGACTCCGGGTGTGGCCCATCCATAAATCCACTTGGCAACACTAAGAGTACAGCTCAGTCCCGTTTCCAGGAGAATCAGACACCAGTGTTGACAATTATTAATTCAAATTATGTGGCAAACAGACTTTCTTTCATCAACTTTCATTATTCTTATACTTAAAGTTGAAGACTTCAATGAATTTATATGAAAGAAACTTACATTTTACTAGAATTGTACTCCATTTTAGACTGTTCTTTATTGACATGTAAATGAATATCATTCATACTTCTGTACATTTTATTATTTACACTACATTTTGATTGTTTATACGAATGTCGATCTAAAAAATTTTTATAAACAAAGTCAGTTTTATGAACTTCATTGAGTAATAGATTTATATTGAAATCGTTAATTTGATAATCAGTAAAAACATATGCACCATACAAGTCAATTGATTTATATGTGGGCTGTGATACTACCCAGGTGCTCAAACCGAAGTAGGTGGTTTTTTTATTAGGGGGTCACATCCGGAGCCTTCGACCGAAAGATCCAATCCACAATGCAGTGAAACAACGTCAGGAGATGCACTCTCATGGTAGCCGGTGGCCAATAGTTGATTCATACGCCGTTTGTTCCCTCAGAATCCTCGAGCCTATGTGCACCAGTCATTTGAAATGAGGGTTTTCCAACTCCCCAAAATGGATCATCTATATCTACCAACCCGGTTAAAGCGCCGGACATTCGCTTTTCGTCCTCTCAGTTTCGTAAACAACAGTAATGCGGCGAGATGGCGGTGTGTAGGACTTTCCTGACAGTGACTGCAGACGCGTGGACATGTGAAAGCATTTCAACAGAGTTAGCTAACAATCCTCACCCTCGGTCATACTAAGGCATTTGGTTAGATGTTAATTGCTTTATCATGTATAATAGAAATGTGACGTAAGACAATACACTACACTAGAGGAAGTAATAATTCTAGTCCATATCTGACCTTTTATAAACTTCAGAGTAACGACATTTTAAGTTATTTTGTCAAATATGATGAGTATTTTGCATTGACCTATTGTATTTGTAAGCACATGGAATCATTACTAAGTGGTGATTAGTGTAATTTTTGTCTACTCCTCAATGTTGATCGAATTCTGTCAGTTAATTTACCGTGTGGCCACTGGTCTAAGTGAATCAACTTTGTGTCCACTTTTTTTTTAAAAATATAACGTGGTTAGAGATAGTCGGAAGGATACCATAGACCTAGGTTATTGGCTAGTTTGTACACGTTAGAGAGGCGTACCGTGAATTTTGAGAGACCTAATGTTATCTGATGGGCTTTTACAAATTCAGATTAACCCAGGAAGAACTCACCTATTTACACGAACTAGAATAACATCACTGTTGGGTCAGCTTCCGGAGAACTTCAACGGAGCCTCCAGAGGCCCAAAAAGGAGCCAAAGGGCCCTAGCCAATCAGAGTATGGTGGAATGTTCGAGAATTCCAGCGTGGCGTGCTACCATTGGTCAGTAGCATAATATGACGTTAACGGATTGGCGGAAATATGATGTTGATTTAACAGACGCCAACATCCATAAATACCCTTGATTTTCTGTACCAAAATGAACCTTGGGATAAAGTGTTTTCTCTCATACTTGTGTCTTCCCTCTGGAATTCAAGTCGCTGTGTAGTTCTAGTCTGCGGGTTTCGGGAATAGCTACCTAATGATCAATCAATGTAAATACATTACACCTACAAGAGGAGAATACCGGTCCAAATAGCTAACTGGTAATTTTCAGGACTATGAGACTGAATAAATCAGATTCTAAGCTCATTGATAGTATCAGTTCCTTCTGAAGACCTGAAGTGTACCAATTTTTATACTATTCGTTTCTAGTGAAAACTTATGACGATTAAAGAGTAATTTAGATCAAATTTCTTATTTCAAATAAACTTACTTAATGAACATGGTGTATTAGTTCTCCACTGATTTGATAAATTCTCACAATATTCATATGTTGGTAATAGATGTTTTTCATTATTGGATGTTATTAGATAATCATCATTATTTTGATTAGTCCATCTATTGAAATTTAAGCATAATGGGAGAGTATCAACTATTTTTCAAGTCGGAATATAATGATCAGAATAATTATACATATGATGTAAATGTGTATATGAATCATAAGAATGATCTATTAAAGGGCTTGGTATCTGTGTGTGTTGCTTGGGTTACAAATTTAGGCCTGGGCGGTATCTGACTCTCCTGCAAGTGGGATTGAGCTGTACTGCTCTAAATAAGCTCTTAGCGATGTCTGGCTATCCTGTTAAACGCGATTGATCGGTACTATTTGGATTGTCACGTGAAAGTTTGAATGGTGTACGGTTCGCCTGAAAATCAATGTAAAATTACCTTGACCCACAAAGGGATATTATATTATATAACTGTGAGTCTAATGATCGATAAATTTCACTTGACTAGCTTCTCGAATCATGAAAGACTGTGGGATCACTATGACAAATTTGAATGATAATGAATCAGAAGAACGATAATAATATATATCTTAAGTCCTGAACATTTAAAGTTTTCATGTCTATCTAGTAAGTTGTTGGTCTCAATAACTTTATGTAATTTCAATGAATGGATGATCTTGGAGCATTGCTGAAATGACCGTGAAAATGTCCACCTACGAACTAGAACTAAATAAGAGTTATAAAGCACTGTGAAGATTAAGAATTATGATTTACAGTAGATAATTAGGAATAGGGACTAGATTTAGTGTTTTCATCACGACCTGGCATCGGTTATGATGTCGAAATAATATATTGCCAAATGAGTGGATGAATTTCGCGCTAAAATTCAAAACTTGTTATCTTAAATCTTAATGGTTCGTCCATAAATTTTAGTCTCACCGTTTTATGAATTATACTGTGTTCCATTTCACTAACCACAATTTTTAAGTAGACAGTTTACTTCAGCAATGCAAACATATTGTTAACTTACTCCCTGTTGGCATAATCAGTAAAATAAAGAAAAAAAGTTATAAATAAGCAAAGACAGATAATGGCTAGCAGTCGAATCCAGGACCCATGTTTCGTCCTATTTGACCTTTGAGGCGAACGGTACTGGGTTCGAATCCCGGAGTGAACATCAACTCTAGGATGTAAAGAACATCCATCTGACGAGTCTCAAATAGGACAGAATGCGCGTTTACATGTAAATTGCTGAGAAGAGATAAGAAACATGTAATATCGAAAAGAAAGTTGACTATCTATTCATTTAGTGAATTACTTTAACCCATCTAAAAATAACAATCTTCCTTCTGTATGAATATATTGTATTCAATTTACTTTTGGAAAAAATGGAACATAATGTAGATGTCAATGCCAGAATTAGACGTGATAGTTTCCAATAAATTGAGGATTTGCATTCTAGGAAAATATTTAATCACAACTGATTGATCACTGGGTGGTGATCAATGTCATATGTGTCAAGTCCTTATTTAGTGTAGATCTAATGCTATCAACCAAGTTGCAGTGTGGCACCAGTTCCCTCAAGAATACAGGTACACCTTGCTGACGAATGCCGAGTAGCACGAAGCCCAGGTCCAAGGATTCCTGTTGACTTCCTCCAACCACCATCTAAGGAAAATATTTATTTAATAAACCTGTTATAACAGTTATTTATTTAAACACATATACATTGGTACAAGAAGGCATCAAATAGATGTGCGCCACATAAATCATTCGATTTGTATGAAGCTGTGTTACTGCCCAGGACCATACCCAGCGCCTTTGACCTGAAAGTATAATACATGAGGCAGTGGAGCAACGTGAGGAGATTCAGTCACATGGTATCCGGTCACTAACGATTGCTTCATACACCATTTATTACTTCAGGATACTGGAGCCCATCTACACCATCGATTTAGAATGAGGGTTTTCCAAATACTTAAGGTGGATACCCATCAACCCTGTTAAAGCTCAGGACATTCGCTTTTCGTCTTCTTAGTTTCGTAAACAGCACTAATGCCACGAGAAAGCAGTGAGTAGGAGTTCCCTGACAGTGGTTGTACGCACGTGGACATGTGAGAAAATTTGAAGAGGGAGAGCTGAATCTTCCCACTTTCGATTGAACCAGGGCATTTGGGGACCGAATTTGACCTTTAGTTTACCTTTAACGAATATCTACACTAGATACCCTTTCAGTATCGATTCTGGAGTACATCAACATAACTCAGATCTAGAATACGTGACTAGCCTGATTAGAACATAGGTATATTTCCACATCAAAAGCCGACAGTCCTACTCACTGCCTTATCGTGGCGGGGGTGTTGTTTACGAAAATGAGAGGACAAAAAGCGAATGTCTGGCGCTTTAACCGGATTCCAAACCAATGGTGCACATGGGCTCGACTATCCTGAAGGAACAAATGGCGTATGAACCAATTGTTGGTCACCGGCTTCCATGGGACTGCATCTCCTTACGATGGCCCGACTGAAGCTGCTACCTTGACGCGGTGGTCGGGCTTGCCTATCGTGATGACCTAATCAGAGCATCTATCAGTGCGATAGATGCTCGGAAACTCATTCCATTTGGCTCTGAACATAATGAAGATCAGAGTCAGCTTAAGCGCAAGCTGACAAGAAGTCAACGCAACGATCGTGAACAGTGGTGGGTAGCGAAAGCAAGAGAGATGGAAAAGGCAGTGGCAGTAGGTAATAGCAGACAATTGTTCAGACTTGTTAAGGAAACCGGTATTAGGAAACCGACTGTTAGCGAAACACTCTCAGAGAAAGATGGACATATTATATACTCTCAATCCAGGAGATTTGATCGATGGGCAGAACACTTTAGGGATCAGTTCATCTGGCCTTCAACCACACTTCGGTTTCCCGCGATCCCCAGTCAACCGGAATGGCAAGTTAATGTAGGTCCTCCGTCTCTTTAAAAAGTTGAAAAAGCCATAGGAAATCTGAAGCGAGGGAGAGCAGCAGGCCCTGACAGGTTTACTCCTGAGATTTAAGGATAGTGGTTCAGTATTAGCAATGAGATTAACCGAGGTCTTAGGTAGAATTTGAGAACTGGACGTAATCCCATCTGACTGATCTCAATCACTGATTGTGCCAGTTTATAAGAAAGGACAAAAGTAACACAGTTGTTAGGAAACGGTACTAGGTAAGGATGCCAAATCAATTGATGAAGTGGTGAAACTTCATCAGTTGAGATGGCTGGGACACGTGTTACGTATGCCCAACGACCGACTGACTCGACGTGCGATGTTCAGTGGTATAGGAGTAGGTTGCAAGAAAGTTAGGGGCGGCCAGACCAAAACATGGCACAAGTCCATACAGTCACTGACAAGTGTACTGAGTCATGTCGGTATGTGTAGACTACCTGGTTGGGGACCACGAGATGATAGCAACCGATGGTTAGAGACCTTGAATGACATGGCTCAAAATCGTTTGTAATGGCGCAGGTGCGTCCACTCTTTGTGTTCTCCCAAATTTTGATCTGATTCCCCCTTGTCTCTTTTTTTACTCTTCCCAAGTTTATTTCACTGTATTATACTCTTTAAGTAACATCTCCAAACACTAATCTTTCCAATTACTGCTTATACTCTTATTACCTCTACCACTACGGGATTTGAATCCACCACGGCATCTCTGTGCTAATGTGGTGTGATAACTCGAACTGATGTACGTACGTACGAAGTTCTACGTTGTTACTGACTGACTGATCTTACGATGTTCCACTGTCTTTTGGATCAGACCTTCAGGTCGAAAACTCGGGGTGTGGCCCCCTTAGAAAACCACCTGCTTCCGTTTGGGCACCTCGGCATTATCACAGCCCTCACACATATCGAATGAGATTTGTGTGGCGCATATGTATTTGGTGCCTCCTTGTACCAATATCTATGTGTTAAAATAAATAAATAAAAATAAATAATAATAAGGTTACAAGAATATATATATAACTCATCCAATACATGTCAGACGATCTACTAGTTTGAATAAGCAAATAATAAATCATTAACTTCCTTGCCTATAAATCAAGACCTTAGTTTTCCATGAGTGTTTGGTGAAGATCAGCCCGGTAATAATGTTTCATCAATCGTTTTCGTCCTATTACTTCATTTATACATTCAATTGAATCATCAATTCAAATCATAAGATTAAAGAATCATTCATTGTAAAGGAAGCATTTCATCTTCAAAACACTTACTCATGATTACTCTCTGACAATGTTTTAGTGTTCATTTTAGCCATTTGATTAAATAACCATTGTTTACGTCGTCTATATACAGAATTACGTAAACTCTCAAGACCTCGATTTATCTGAAATAGAAAATATATATATATTTATTGAAACAGATTTATCATGGATGTCTAAGTAAACTTAATGCTTATCTTCAAAAAGATATAGTATATATTTGGAAGTTTAGTGGGTGACTATTAGACTGAGAAAATGCACTGGTACAACCGAGAATAGGGAGAGTCAGCTCTCCCTCTCAAAATCCTCTCACATGATCACGCGTAAACAGCCACTGCCATACAAGTCCTACTCAAGGCATGCTAGCCGTATTACTGTTGTTTACGAAATTGAGAGGACGAAAAGCCAGTATCAACTGTTGGTGATCGGCTACCATGGATCTGCATCTCCTTACGTTATTCCACTGCCTTGTGGATTAGACCTTCAGGTCAAAGGCTCTAGGTGTGGTCTCCTAAGAACGTCACCTGCTTCGTTCTGGCCACTCGGGCAGTATCACAACCTGTACATAAATCAAGTGACATGTATGACGCATATGCATTCGGTGTACCTTCGTACCAATATTTATGGTTGAGCTCTCGTGGGCGAGACTAAAATGTCCTGGGTTCGAATCTCACGAAGTGAGGTCGTGTATGCGCACTGCTGACGAGTCCCACAATAGGACAAAACAGCCATCCAGTTCTTCCAGATTTTCCATGGCGATATAGCTTCAATTGCCTCATGATCTCATCTATTGAAATAACTATATTATCCATGCTAATAAATCAAATAAGAGTTACATGTTCTTTGGTACATTTAATAATGATATTGTTAACATTAAACATTGGTATTTTGGGCAAATTTAAATGATTGAAATTGTCATGACAACAAAAATTCATTTAATGATCCAAATGTTGTATACATGATCTCTTTTTTTTACAATAACATCTTTAGATCATTTGAGTATAGTTCAGTTTTGATTTGATCCAATAATTAATGAATGTCATGCTTTTTGAATTATATTTTCTGGTTAGCGTTTTTTTAGAGAGTTAGTTTTCTACAGGGTGGAGTCGCTAACCCTATACTCAACCCTCCTCCTTTATCCGTGCTGGGGACCATCAGTAACTCCAAAGTCTATGTGTTTTTTAATAGCTGTCTACAGAAAACGGATCCGTTGGCCAAACACAATCAGCAGCAACCTACTGTGGGAAAGAACAAACCAGATCCCAGCAGAGGAAGAAATCAGGACGAAGCGCTGGAAGTGAATAGGACACACATTGGAAAAAGCGTTGAACTGCGTCACAAGGCAAGCCTTCACATGGAATCTTCAAGGCTAAAGGAGAACAGGAAGATCAAAGAACACAATACGCCGGGAAATGGAGACGGACATGCGAAGAGTGAACAACGATTAGATAAAACTAGAAAGGAAGTCCCAGGACAGAATAGCCAAAGAATGCTGATCGGTGGCCCATGCTCCATTGAGAGTAACAATCATAAATAAGTAAGTCATGCTTTTTAAGTTTATTTAAGCGCATATAGTTCGATTGAACATACCTGATATTCTGTGTTCTGATTGTAACAATCAACTGGACAACTTATTTCTCCTCCGGTTAGTGTATCTTGAAGGTCTGGCATTACATTATTAGTTGTTGGTTCATCATAAATCTCTTTTATGTTTGGATGATCTTTGACATCTTTTCTGTGATCTAATTGACTTTGGGCCTGTACAGAATAATCATGAAGTGTCATTTTATCAATATATCTTCGAGTTGACTTTTGATTATCTGATTTACTTGATTTCAAACGTTTACGACGTTCAGACATTTGAAAATAAGATCCATTTATTAAATGATTCATTTTATTTAAATCTAAATGATTGATTGGCATATTAAGCCTTTCTGAAGTATTTCGACTAATAGATTTATCAATAGTATCACTTCTACAATCCAAATGAGGAATTCCTCTATTATCTGGAAAATAAAGTATACTCTTTGTGAAATAATAAATTATATATAATCTATAGATTGTGATCATGAACCGATTGATGTTAAACCACAATTGAAAGCCTCGAATCACTGGACGGCTCTTTCATCCTATTGTGGAACTCCTGAGATGCGCGCTGATGAGGAATTCCACAATAGGACGAAACGGCTGTCCAGTGCTTCCAGGTTTTCAATGGTGGTCTACCATTAATCGGTTCATGATCTCAATTAGAAACTTAATAATCTCCACAATCCTATGCTGATAATCTATAGAGTTTTATTATGTAAGCTCAAAAACTCATTTTATTCCTATCAATGTTTACTTATTACGTAATCATTTGTTTCTAGCCATTTTAACTGTTATAGAATGTTCTTTCACACTTTAAACAGAGCAATTATCAAACCTCTTCTCGATACAGGACATCAGGTCGATAACTTGCAATCTTTCAAGGTGATTAGTAAGCAGATAAACTCCAGGCTTCTGAAGTTTGTTGAAGCCGTTGTTATCAGGTGTCAAAAACTTATATATGTGTTCAAAAGGAGATGGATATCTTCGCAATCAGTAATCTTAGTCATTATGTAATCACTTGTTTCTGACCGTTTGAACTGTTGTCACAATCAATGTTGTAGAATGTTCTTTTACACAAGGTATATATATTTATACTATTCAGTCTATCACATTTATTTACACTATTGCTATACTATAATGATGTATTCTGACCATAACTTCCAATCGAACACATTCATGTAAGTAAGTTGAACTTATTATGTAATTACGATTTTCAAATATTACAGGTTGTAAGCAACTGATGAAATGCAGACGAAATACAATCAATTTTATCTATTCTGTTAGAATCTTTGTTCTTTCTCTTTTCAACATGATAAAAGGGAATTATGTGCATAAAAATAAACAGTTTTGTAGCCACTAAATGTAGATGGCGGAAACGATATTTGCCCCCAAATGCCCTGGTACAGACGAGAGTGGGGAAAGTCCGCTTTCCCTGTCGAAATGCTCTCACATGGCCACGTGTATATAGCCTTTGCCACGGAAGTCCTACTCACTGTCTTCTCACGGCATTACTGTTTTTTACGAAATTCAGAGGACGAAAGTTGAATGTTCGGCGCTTCAACCGGTTTGTTGGACACGGAGAATCCACCTAGAGGATTTGGAAAACCCTGATGACAAACCAATGGTGCACATGGGTTTCAGTACCTTAATAGAACAAATAGCGTATGAACTGTTTATTGGTCACCACTTACCATGTGACTGCATCTCCTTACGATGCTCCACTGCCTTGTGGATCAGATCTTTAGGTCGAGGGCTCCAGATGTGGCTCCCTAAGAAAACCACCTGCTTCGGTTTGGGAACCCGGGCAGTATCACAGCCCTTACACAATTCAAATGAGATTTGTGTGACGCATATGTATCTGTTGCCCCCTTGTACCAGTATTTATATGTTTATGTGAAACCACATTGGCTTCAGGGGATTTTAATAATTAGAACTACTCAGTAACTCATTGTGTTTCTTATTCCTAAACAGTTCATGTGAGACATTACTACTTCTCTGGATTATTAGCTAAGTAATCTCATATCTGTCACTGTCTAGTTCTTTTAAATCTTTATCGTCTTCTTTTTTAGGTAGTCTTCTAGATAATGTACGTTAGTAAATAACTTACTCTTACTTCTTCTAAGAATAAGGTAAATAATTGTACATTTACTAGTGTGATATGTACTACTGATGTTGACAGATATAAGTAGTAGTATGTATCATCAATCGAAAGTGAAATAACTGGTGATAGAAGGTTAAGAAGATCAAAGAAGAGATAACAAGAGCAAAGAGTGATTGATATGAAAACGAAGGAACAGTTAAGTTTGAGACGACTGACTGACATTTTACAAATGAAGTATTTATTCGATGGTTCTCAGATTTTACTAAGAGATTCTGCAATTTGTTCCAGAATACATTTAGTTGTTCCCAACTGTGTTCTCCTTCACAACATTAGTACTTAATCTCTTGAATTCTTTCTTAATTTAGACTATTCATTAATTATTTATTACTTTTACTATAAGTATGATTTCATTTGAATGATCAAACTTTCACCATGTTTTTAATTTATATACGGATATGGAAATATTCAGCTGAACAGTACTATAGAAATACACTGGCGCTCCCAAATGACCTGGAACAGCCAAGAGTGGGGAAAGTCTGCTCTCCCTTTCGAAATACTCTCACATGGCTACACGTATACAGCCACTGTCAGGATAGTTCTACACGCTTTTTTCTCGCAAAATTACTGTTGTTTACGAAATTAAGAGGACGAAAGGCGAATGTACGTTGCTTTAGCCAGGCTGTTAGATATGGAGGATCCACATTGGGGAGTTGGAAAACCCTCGCTTCAAATCAATGGTGTATATGAGCTCCGGTATTCTGAAGGAAAGAATGGTACATGAACCAATCCTTGGTCACCGGTTATTATAGGATCGCATCTCCTGACGTTGCTCCACTTCCCGATGGATCAAACCTTTAGATCGAAGTCTAGGGGTTTGACCCTCTACGAAAACCACATGCTTCAATCTGAACACTCGTGAAGTATCCCAACTCACACACAAATCGAGTGACTTGTGTAGAGCATATATATTGGGTGCCCGTTTGTACCGATAAATATGTGTTCAACTATATAAATGAAAATGAAATTGAGATGAGGGAGAAAATTTATAGCTCATCCAGAAGTTTATGCTAATGATACCATTCAAAAGAACAATAAAAAAATCCACAACTAAACTATTCAACTCATAGTACAAATCTTCATCAAACTTAAAAAAATTCAACTTTCCCTCACATTTAAATCTTTCTTTAATTAATTAGGGGGAACATATACAAAGATAGAGAGTGGCTAGAAATAGAATCCAGTTTGACGCCCGTTTCGTCTTATTTGGAACTTGTCATCTGGATGTACCTGAATCTTAGATTTGATATTTTCTCTGGGACTCAAACCTTGTACCATTCACTTCAAATACCATCGCATTATCCACTTAGCTATTGAGTCCTGATAGCCACTTGCTTGTGCGATAATATGAAGATTAAATTCACTTGATAGTGTTTATTTGAATCTTTCAGTTGATGTTTACAACTGTAATTGATCAATCTCTTGTTGGCATATATGCATATTGTCTTTATTACCTCCAGATAGCTTTAATTCACAAGCATTCTAAAGTAAAGATCAGTAGTGGCTAATAATCATTGATGTTTATTTATTTAATTAATCACATAAACATTGGTACAATGAGGCACCAAATAGATATGCGCCACATAAATCATTCGATTTGTGTGAAGACTGGGGTACTGCTCGGGTGCCCAGATCGAAGCAGGTGGTTTTCTTAGGGTGACACACCCCAAGCCTTGGACCTAAAGGTCTGACTCACAAGGCGATGGAGCATCATGAGGAGATTCAGTCCCATGGTAGCCGGTGACCAACAATTGGTTCATACGCCATTTAATCCCTCAGGATCCTCGAGCCTATGTGCACCATTGTTTTGGAATCCGGTTAAAGCGCCGGACATGAGATGATTAAAAACAAACAATACTAAATGAATTAAATTAAAAGGAATCTTTTTGATAAAAACAATTATTTCTTGTACGGATAAAACACAATAACAACAACAATCAACACCAAAAAAACATACTTTAATACATACAATTTTGTTTAAAATCATTTTCATAATTCACCATAGCAACTAAATCATCATCATCATCATTATCATTTTTTAATTTGATACATTTTTTTATTTTTTCTAATAAAAAATTTACTTCTATAATAGACATTTCATTCAGTAATAAATTTTCAATAATCGATAATATTGATTTATTATTATTTATATTAATAAGAGTTGCACAACATTTAGCTGCTGCTGATTGAACCTACAATAGAAATAGAAAAAAATGCAAATTGATTTTTCAATATTGAAAGAAAAATTAGTTGCTATGTCGTTTTTTGTAAAAAAAATCTTTTTGGAAGGTAAGAAAAAAAACATCTTCATCCGATTACATGGAGGGGGGTGCCATAGGCTTTGTGAAGATTATAATACGAGTACTTCAGAGAACTGTTAATGCACTACTATATATATACCTATTGAATACCTATTCAGTAACTAAATTGTGTATATCTGTATTCCTCTTATTATAATCTTCGTTTTGACCTATAGATCATGATTATACGATTTACGGTTCTCAATTCATTTGGTGTCGCTTACTTGCATCTTCCCATTGTTATTTAGGAACACAATCGGTCAGTCTCTTGATAGAATTTGTGTATCCTGTGTGGATTGCCTCGATATTGTCTTAAGACACGAGCCTTATAAGCAAATATAAGTAATGGTTAGTATTGAAATTCAGGATGCGTATTTCGTTCTATTAGGGATTTGTCAGATGGATTTACCTACATCTCAGATGTGATGTTTACTCCGGGATTCAAACCCAATACCATTCGATTCAAATGTCACCCTATAGAACAAGCAGGTGGCTATTAAGACTCAGTAGCTAAGTGGATAACGCGGTGGTGCTTGAAGCGAATGGCACTGGGTTTGAGTTCTGGATTGAATGTCAACTCTAGGGTGTACGTACATCCATCTGACGAGTCGAAAATAGGACCTAGCGTCTGGGATTCATCTGCTAGCCACTATCCATCTTTGCTTACTGTTCTTAAGTTATGTTCACTTTATTGATTACAGTCTCCCACGTTCACAGCCACATTGTGGCTTGATCTTGTATAAATGTTATTGACTCTTTTATGGTGTGATATGTTCTGTTTGGTTGGTACATAAACCGAGTATGTTTGAAATAAATGATTCGCTTAGTGGAAGCTGTTGTTGATAGTTTGGACTCAATTAGACAGGCTAGGCGAATAAAGGACCGATGAAGACGCTAGGCTGCTCATACCGATCGAACGTCGTTGGTTTAGCACGATTCTAAGATTGAATAAGTCGTATTTCGATTGACAAATAAATCACGTAATAACTATCCGGATACAAAGGCACAACAGAGAGGATCTAGAACTGTTTTGTATTAATTTCTTGATTATTACTTTGAAATTGGCCTAGGATTGAAGGTGACCTGTTTGAACATCTTCTCTACCTGTTCCTGCCATCTAAATACTTTTTCAGTACAAGTTACACAAATGTGCAATCGGAGACATCGTGATTGCTGACAATATGAATTGAAAAGAATGAACATGATTCACTGGTCGATTGACTGGATTACTAACTTCTAACTGGCGATCAATCAATATTTATCGTTAGGATCAACCAAGAAGTACGAAATGAAAAAAATTGTTGAAATACGTTGCGCTGATAATTCTATATTCTACCGAAAATATAATATCGAATAAAGCTAATCATATTAATAACGATTAGAATTAACCTGATAGAAACGACTTCAGTATGAATTTATCAAATAGGTGGTAACTGTCGATTGATCTGGTTCTATATATATATATATAACAAGTGTGATTGGGTTGTTCTCCGAGTTGCGTTTGAGGATCTTGCTTTTTCCTTTGTGAATGTTGAGGCCTACTGATGCGGAGGCTGCTACTACACTAGTTGTCTTTATATGCATTTGTTCGTGTTTATAGGATAGAATGGCCAGGTCCAAGTCGTCTGACTGGTTCTGAGCTGTTCATTGTAAGCCGTGTTTTCCCTCAGATGTCGAGGTCTTCATAATCCAGTCGACCACCAGAAGAAAGAGGAACCCGGTTAAAGCATCTAACATTCAAGTTTTGTCCTCTCGATTTCTTAAACAAGAGTGTTGCCGCGAGAAGACAGTGAGGAAGAGTTCTCTGGTAGTGATTGTATTCACGTGGCCATGTGATAGGGATTCGACAGGGATAGTGAACTCTCCCCACTCTCGGCCGTTCCAGGATATTTGGGTTCGTCAGTCAGACGTACGCGGTGAATATAATTTAATATTACAATATTATCGGTGATAATTTAAATATTGTAACAAATTATGTCAGTTCTCCTATATTAACATGACAATTAAAAATTAACGATTACAATGGTAGGAACCAACGAAATTATGGAATGGATAAAGAAATCTCAATATGATTTCAACGAGAACATTCTATCAATGTTAACAACTATCATTAATACGATTAGACGAACTTATTGTAGATATATTGGATGAGAATTAAAATCTGTTAAGAAGATAAACACTAGAAAATGTAGATGATCGAAACTTCTCTACGAAGTCTCACTTTTATGCGTTTTTTTTAACTGTCATCATTAAGGGCGTTGTTTACCAAAGAGGTATGTTCAGCTTGTAGTTCTTCAAGGACTATTACCTGTTCCAAGTTCTGGTAAAGTAGGAGGGTTGGGCAAGGGGTCAGCAAACCCATCCCGTAGAAAACAATCTTACTAAAAAAAACTATCTGAATACAAGTTATTTATTTATTTGAACACATAAATATTGGTACAAAGGGACACCGAATACATATGCGCCACACAAGTCACTTAATTTATGAGTGGGGTTAAGACCGAAATAGTTGGTTTACCTAGGGGACCACGCCCGGAGCCTTTCACATAAAAGTCTAATCCGCCAAGCAGTGGAGCAACGTCAAGAAATACAGTCCCATGGTAGCCGGTCAACGACTACTGGTTCATACGCCATTTGTGATAAGTCTTGGAAACTGAACGCTATATTCGTTTCCTAAGCTGTTCTGTAACCCCCAAGCTAGAAGTATACAGCGACCTGAACTCGAGAGAGAAGATGCAAAGTATGCAAGAACCACTTTACTCCAAGGTTCATTTCAATACAGAAAATACAGGGTTTTTATAATATTTTAAATGTCCTTAGGTTGCTAGAAGATTCTGGAATGCTACTAAACATAGTAGCAGTGTAGCAATCAGCCAATCAGAACCTCTGCATGTGACGTTTCGCCCCCTTGATATTTCTGGCTAAAACTTCAAGTGAACGCTGATTGGAGGAAACGCTTCTCAGTGTTTTCCTGATAATTGCATGTCTTTTGGAAGGAATTTTCTGGGTCACCTCAACAATTAGTTCGTTCAGGATTCGGAAGCCCATGTTCACTACTGATTTGGAATCAGTTTTTCAACTCCATTTATAAACCTGATTACAGTGTCGAATATTCGCTTTTCATTCTCTCAATTTCGTATACAACAATCATGCTTCGAGAATCTCATTGAAGCATTTCGACAAAAAAGATCTGACTATCCCCACCTTCGGTCTTACCAACTCATTTAGGGTCATATATAAACAGAATAGTTGAAGTGTATGTATCACAAAATGTGATTGGTCTAAATTCATATATAACCATATAAAAAAACAGACCAAATATGCAAGCTTTTTGTAAGCAATGATGGATAGTGGCTAACAGTGGAATCCAGGACAACGCGCGTTTCGTCCTATTTGAGACTCGTCAGCCCGATGTATCTCACAGTTGATGTTCATTCTGGGACTCGAACCCAGTAGTACCATTCACTTCAAACGTGATCGCATTATCAACTTAGCTACTAAGTCCTGATAGCCACCTGCTTGTGCAATGGGGTGAAGTTTAATTCACTTGTTATTGTTTTACTTGAATCTTCCCATTGATGTTTTAGGACTGAAATTGATCAGTCTGTTATTGGCATATGTGCATACTGTGCGTATGCCTCGATATTGCCTTAATTTACAAGCATTATAAGCAAAGATGGATAGTTGCTATCGGTGGAATCCAGGACAATGCGCGTTTCGTCCTATTTGAGACTCGTCAGCCCGATGTACCTGCATCTCACAGTTGATGTTCACCCTGGGACTCGAACCCAGTAGTATCATTCACTTCAAACGTCATCGCATTATCCACTTAGCAACTAAATCCTTATAGCCATTTGTTTGTGCAAATCTATATAAATAAAGAAAACCATTTCACTTACCACACCACTTTTATCTTTTAAACATTGTACAATTCGTTTAATCATTTTCATGAGATCAATATTTTGTTCAACCTTATTACATAATAGAAATGTCATACAATATAATGTATTGGTACGTATACGAAAATTGGTATGATTATTCTTATAATATAACCATAATTCATCTAATATAATATCAGCTTTAAAATATGTTAATAATTGTAATAAGATTCGATGAATTATATGATACATTGTCTTTAAATTATTCATTAAAATAGGTTTAAATAATTGGAATATTTCTTTGATATTTGATTGGATTACATAATTGGGTAAATGATGTAATAGCATCTATAAAGAAGGAGAAAAAGAGAGTAATACATATATATATGAAATAATGATGAAAACGTCGTAGTAACTAAGCATGTAAAAGATGGGTAGTGACTATTAGTGGAGTCCAGTTTGACGCACGTTTCGTCCTTTTGTTAGACTCGTCAGCTGGATACATCAACATATTAGAGTTGTAGATCAATCTGGGATACGAACTCAGTAAAGTTCGCTTTAGGCGACAGTATGTTATCTAATTAGACTCGTCAGGCGGATGTGTCTACATCTTAGAATTGAAGATCATTCTGGGATACAAACTCAGTAATGTACGCTTTAAATGTCATCGCGTTATCCACTTAGCGACTGAGTCCTGATAGCCAATTGCTTATGCAATGAGGTGAAGTTTGAATCGAATGGTACTGGATTTGAGTCTCAGAGTGAACATCAACTATGAGATGCAGGTACATCCATCTGACAAATCCCTAATAGAACGAAATCCATCTTTGTTTATAATGCTTGTAAATTGAGGCAATATCGAGGCAATCCACACAGGATACACATATTCTGACAAGAGACTGATCAATCGCAGTCCTAAATAATAATGTGAAGATACATGTAAACAACACTAAGTGAATATAAGTATGTGTATATTTGTTTATTCCAGTCACATTGATACTCCTGGGTGAATACAAGTCGGTTGATCAAAAAAAATAAGACAAGTATTCATAGTAGGAAAGCAGATCCTATCTCACCTATATCAATTTGGAAGTTAGGCATTTTCATTAGTTCTCACACAAAACGTGTAGATGAGTGTCGATTGTATGATCCTTCAGTTACTAACAGAAGTACAATGTATTATTTGTTTATTGAGTTTAATCATTACTCTATCATGTTTGAAATTCATAGTTTATACAACATTGTCTAGAATACTGTCCACTATATCGTGAGGTGTTTGCTCAGACCTATATATGCCAGGAATCTTTAACGAAATTCATAAGCATATAGATTTCCTAGTAATACTCACTGATTAATGTGTCAATTACAGCTTCTTATTTTTAAAAGTCTCTTCATATTCCAACTTTATATTTATAACTTAAGTCAATAGTATAATCAATTATTCATCAGTATAGGGTTGTGGAGATTGTTAAGTATTTTGATTGAGATCATCCATCAGTTGGTGTTAGAACAACATTGAAAACCTGGAATTACTGGATAGCTGTTTCGTCCTTGTATGGGACTCCTCGGCAGCACTCATCCACGATCCCGATAGCGAACTTCAAACCCAGGACCTTCGGTGTTGCAAAGTTAAGCGTTCGCACATAAATTAGTCAAAGATACTTGAGTATTTTACTGTAATGGAATACTGACAAAGGTAGATTGAATTCAAAATAACTTTATCCTTCTTACACTTCTTATTAATTCAAGTTTTCAGATTAATAAACATGAGAAGAATGATACTTAATTGATCTACTGTGAGAGTTTGTTCTATTCCAAGATGTGTCACAACAAGTTGTAGACTCAAGGTCCAGTCAACTCATTCATAGAAAGGTTCATCAACTGAAAAGGATAAGTTGTCTACTTGTAACACCGGCGATAAAGAGAATTTTTTGAGAAGAATATACGAATTACATATTTCAAGCTGAAGTTTCTTATAGGCTGATCATTAATGAAAAAAGTAATTACTATAATTATGATTATCTAATCTATTATATTCTCTCAGTTAATGTTTGCTATCCCAACCATAAGTTACATCAGTATAGGGTTGTGGAGATTGTTGAGTTGAGATCAAGAACCTGTCAGTCAACAACGTAGAACTTCGTACGTACGTTCATCAGTTCGAGTTACCATATCACGTTAGCACACAGATACAATTGTCAGTTCAAATCCCATAGTGGTAGAGATAGTAAAATTATAAGCAGTAATCGGAAAGATTAGGGTTCGAAGATGTTATTCAAGGAGTATAATCCAGTGAAATAAATTTGGAAAGAGAAAAAAATAAGGGAAGTGAAGAATTCAGAAGATTAGAATTTAGGAGAACACAAAGAGTGCACGCAACTGCGCTATTGTAAACGATTTTGAGCCATGTCATTATCACGAACCAATCGACATTGAATCATCATTGAGAACCTAGAATCATTGAACAGCCATTTTGTCCGACAATCCCACGCGTTGGACTCAAACCCTGCACTTTCAGTCACATGCGCGAACGGTAAACCTATAGATCACTGAAATGGCAACCAATAGTGTTAATGTGACCAGTGTATCTCGACCGTATCGGGTTTCAGGCAGTTATCCACCAAAGAGAATGGAAGATTATCCCTCAATACCATGGATTAGTTCAAGTTAGTCATTAACAATGTTATATTTTAAAATATTTGTCAACTACAAAGTACCAATCAAGTAAAATTGAAATAATTAGAGTTCAATCGACTACCTAAATTGAAAATTTAGGCGAGACTATAATTTATGAATGAACCAATCAGATTTAAGGATAACAGATCTCGGATTTCGGCTCAAAATTCACTCATCCATTTGGCTAAATAAAGTTTTGGTATCTAATTCCTAACCTTAATCATCAACAATAAATCCTAATTCTGATTCGTTACACTGGTTTATAATTAGCTACAACGTAGGACCAAGCACATATATGCATAGGCCCAACTCATCACATCTCACTCATTAACACAACAAAATAAACACTAAATTCATAGCTGTAGTTAATTCAATGGTAGTAATATAGAAAAAGAATGATTGTATATAACGATATAGTACAAGAAGAAAGAATTATATTCCTCATTTGGTCTTAATTACTGGATAGACACTCTCAAGATCATTTTAACGTCACTCAAAGACCTTTGATGTATGGGCGAGTATGATTAGTTGTCTGCTTAGTCACACATATAGATAGTCTGACAGGTGTCAGATGAGTTATATGTTCCCTTATCCTTATAATAAAGTTACTACTGACTTATTATTGATTGTTCATTTTCAGTGGATTGTGTTGGGTTTTATTGAGGAAATATATTTACGTTGTGGTCAGGTTAATCATCTTGATCTTGATCTGAGTTGTGTTGAAATTCTGTAGAATAAACACTGGGAGGAAATCTAGTGCAGATAATCGTCCACGTTATAATATTAGACGAAGTAAAATTGACCGTTATAACAATTGACAACAAGGTGAAAAACAATGAGCCAAGGATACAAACCACAAATTATAACAATCTTCCATAAATGATAATCGCCCTCCAGCCCCCTCCATAGTTACTAATATTTGAATGATGATCTGGTATAAAGTTAATTTGTGATAAATCACCAAACATGAAAAACCAATCGTTATAACATTAGACAAAGTAAAACCGAGCATTATAAAGATTGGCAACAAGGTGAAGAACAAAGAACCAAGGGGTACAAACCACCACCCCACCCCCAAAAAAAGAAAATATATAGTATCCATACTTACCAATACAATATCAATAAGATGTACTATTATATTGATTGATTGATGATACATAATATTGAATACATTTATTAAAAATATTCTTATATTCTTAATATAACATATAAGATTTGAATAATATTGTAATGAATTCCTATGACAAAACATTTTCCATGTAAACTGTTGTAATGCTTTAATACCTTTCAATTGAATCATATAATCATTTTTATAATATAATAAAGAATAAATATAATTTGGTATTAAAATAATTCTATATGATGTAATACTAGAATCATTTAAATGAATTGGATCATCGGATTGGTTACCATGGTTACTAATGGTTGAATAATGATCTGGGATGAAGTTCTTTTGTGGTAAATTATCATTATATATGTCATCGGATTGGTTACCATAGTTACTAATAGTTGAATAATGATCTGGGATAAAGTTGATTTGTGATAAATTACTATGATCTATTCCAGAATGTATATAATTCATAGCATTATAATAATCTGTATCATTTATACTATAATGTAATAATTGCATAATATTCAAACAAAATGATGTAATTCTTGTATTGAATCCTTTTGATTTATCATTAAGTAGTTTGAATATCATTATAATTTCATAAAAATCTAATTGATATTTTGTTGTCATGGTGATAAAATGTTTTAATTTCATTAAATATTGTTTATATTCAATTGGATTTATTATGATTGTTTTTATACAAATATAAATTAATATACGTATAATAGGTGCAATATTATTACAATCTATGATATAATCACATAGACAATTCCATGTATATTGATTAATATTTGATTGTTTATTTAATAAATTAGTTGCTAGGTCCAATTCTAATAAATGAATTAATGAAGTTTTGAGTTTGATAGAAATCAATTGGTTAGTAACTAAGTAATATAATGTGTCAATACATTTCATATTTATATCATCTATAGTTCCAATAGTTCGTATGATGTAAGATAGAAATCTACCCAAGATACTGATTGTATATAATGAAAAGTAATTGACATTATAATAATGCATTATATCATTCAATAAGATATAAGAGGATTGAATGAATTCATTAGAATGAGGTTGATTAGAATAGATGGTTTGTATACGTAAGATTAGATCATTATTTAACATATTGTAAATGATTTAATTATAATGATCTTAGTTCATTTATATTTATGATCATTATAAATGACCTTGTGAATGTTACCTGAGTATTGGTTAACCTTTAGAAATTAATCGATGATTCTATGCACCTAATATAGAATAAGTAAATAAATATGTACTTCAAGATTGGTTCTTTAGTTAATAGGATCTTATGGATATTTGAGAAGTGACTATATAACTAAAGATGAATAGTGGTTAGAAATGGAATCTAGAGTACTGAAGGCAATATGTGTTGGGTAGAGATAGGTATTGAGATTAGATGGTGGTTGGAGGTAGTCGACAGAAGACCCTGAAACCGGATTTCGTGCTTATTGGCACTCTTCAGCAAGGTGTACCTGTAATCTTGAGGGAACTGGTACCACACTGCAACTTGGTTGATAGTAGGTACACCTTACTGACTAGTGCCAAGTAGCATGAAACCCGGGTCCAGGGTTTCCTGTCGACTATCGCCAACCACCATCTAATCTCAACATAAAGTGCACACAGTGTCGAGTCACCTAGACTAGTGGCCACATTGCAACATGGTCGATAGCATTCGATTTGCACTAAATAAGGACTTGACACACATGACATTGATCACCACCCAGTGATCAATCAATTGTGAGAGATAGGTATCTATTTCAGTACAATCATGGATAGTTACGCAATTTCGCGGATTGGTTGAGGTTAAATATTAGCATTGTTAAATGTCAGCCGTTTCATGCGTAATACCGATAGGTTCTGAGTTCGAATGTCGCGAGGCGAGATCGTGGATACGCAATTTTGAGGAATCCTACAATATGGTGAAATGGTCGTATAGTGCTTCCAGGTTTTCAATAGTGGTCTAACATTAATCGGTTCATGATCTTAATCAAAAAATAACATTTAACTTGTAAACTGCAAATATGGAGTTAACTGAGCTGAGTGTCATATATTATCACTGTAAAGTGAAATCAATGATTCACAAAAAACGAAATATCTAATTGTTTAAATAATCGGTTGGGAAATGTTGACTTTCAGGTTAGATGAACGTCGGTTTCATTTATTTTTAAGAACATAAGCAACTACTTAGTATTAGATACATATAACTTGCTAGTACTAATATACAAGCACTATTGGATGGAAAATTAGCATGTGTGATAATGTAGGATATTGTCAATTTATCCCTATATCTATAATTGTTTAACAACAATGAATGTCAGAAGGGTTTTTGTGAATATTATAGTAATTTTAATAGTTTAGATCATGATTCAATTGAAGCTAGGCCATTATGGAAAATCTGGAAGCACTGGATGGCCTTTACATCCTATTGTGCGACTCCTCATTACTGTAGATCCTTGATCTCTCCTCGCGAGATTCGAACTCAGGACCTATCAGTTTCACATGTGAGCGCTTAACGTCTAAGTCACTGAGCCGGCATCCATTAGTCTTAATGTCTAACTTCAACTAATTCACGAAATTGAGCGACACACTGCGCATTGCTGGGGAGTCCCAAAATAGGATCAAACAGCCGTCCAGTGCTTCCAGGTTTCCCATGGTGCTCTAGTTTCAAATGACTCATGATATCAACTATTAAAAAAACAATGAATATCTCAAATATTCGTAATATAAATTCTAAATTATGGAAAAAGATTATTTGTTAATTTAATATAAATATCCCCATCAGAACAAATGATATAAAATCTGATAAAGATATGGAAAAATTCGTGAATTGGTTGGGGTTAGACATTAACAACATTGGATGCCGGCTCAGTGGTCTAGTTGGTTAAGCACCTGGCGCGAGACTGATAGTTCCTGGTCTCGAATCTCGCAGGGTGCGGGATCGTGGATGCGTACTGTTGATGAGTACCATACTAGGACGAAACGGCTGTCCAGTGCTTCCAGGTTCTCCATAGTGTTCTAGTTTCAACAGACTTATGATTTCAATCAAAAAATTCCGATAACCACATTTCATACCAGAATAGCTAGGAAAAGCAAATGATTGAAATGAAAGTGATTAAATCATCAACAGTCAAGAAGAACTCAAGAAATCCAATGTCTCGAATAAGTATCGAATGTATTTATCATCATCAACTTAACTAATCTTATGTTGTATCACTCAATTGATCAGGTGTTTCATTTATTAAGGAAAACAAATAAGGTTCAATGGAGAAAATTCTCTATTTGACAAAATCATTCATTTAACCTGTACAATCATATCGGTAATTTGTTTGACGTATGGTAGTCTATAATTAAAAAAGGAATATGAAGTTGTTTAATAAAGTGCTATCAAAAATAGTCAAATGTTTTCAAGCATTGATTAACTGTAGAAAATGATATCATAAATCCTCAAAATCAATAACTCTGTAAGTCTTCGACATTTGATGCTGATCATACTAGTTTTAATGGACTCAACTAACTGACATAGATCGTTCACGCATTCGCACCAGATCATGAGTGAGAACACCGTGCTCAACATCTCCTGCAACCATTAGCCAGTTTAAATCAGTCGCTTCTCGATATATTGATAACCTATCAAATATAACTTAGAACCTCCTTGCTTCTGACAAATCCATACGTCGTCATATAATTCAGATGAAAATCCAACAAAAATAAATGGAATAACATTTCTCAGATTAATAAGATACCAATTATTATGGAATTAGAAGTAGGTAGTGGGTTGACATTTAGTCAATATAACTTGAATACATTTGATATGGGCTGATTAGAGAAACTTATATAGTATTCCAATCACAGTTTTAGTATATATAGTAAACCCTAATGGAATTTCTCCACTCGTCTACAATACTTTTACATTTTTTACGTTCGAAATGAGGGTCAAGTGTATGCAATATCAAAAGAATTAGTAAACTCAAATTTGTCAAAACCTATCAGTGTAATACAACTTTTATCTAATCTTGATAATCAATACATTTCATGGTCTATTAACTTTATAACTGAGATAACAGATTTTATAATCAAATGCATTCACTAATAATTTTTTTCCGGTTAGCGTATTTTTAGCGAGTTAGTTTTCTACGGGATGGGGACGCTAACCCCATGCCCAACCCTACTCCTTTATCCGGGCTTGGGACCGGCAGTAGCCCCCGGAGGGACTCCAGGCAACAACGTACTGTGGGAGAGAACAAACCAGATCCCAGCGGAGGAAGAAATCAGGAAGAAGCGCTGGAAATGGATAGGACACACATTGAGGAAAGCACCCAACTGCGTCACAAGACAAGCCCTCACATGGAATCCTCAAGGCCAAAGTAGGAGAGGAAGACCAAAGAACACATTACGCCGGGAAATGGAAATAGACATGAGAAAAATGAACAAGAATTGGATGGAACTAGAAAAGAAGGCCCAGGACAGAGTGGGTTGGAGAATGCTGGTCGACGGCCTATGCTCCATTAGGAGTAACAGGCGTAAGCATAGCAAGTAAGCAAGCATTCACTAATATGTATGTGTGGTGTGATAAAAATACCCAGAAACAAATGTCGCATAGTCAAATGCATCCCGCTTCGTTAACTTTACCGTTTGGCTACACACCCATCAAGCTTGAAAACTTGGAGGTATCGACTGAGTGCACAAGTAAGTCAGAGTCAGCAGGAGGTTGGAACAAAACTAATAAATGATACACCGTGTGAAGTAAATTCGAATCTCACTTACACTGATCCGAGTAATTCGCTACTACATTTTAAATATATTAGTACATTTATTTCCATATAAATAAAAGAAATCGAAATTTCGTACGTACTGTTGAGAGCACATGAACGTTCATCAGTAAATAAATTGCGGTGACTGACTACTTTTATTTCCATACTTCACTTATTGGGAATGAAGCTCAACTCAACAAGACTGCTGGTTCGGCACAAACAAGTCAATAGCAATTATTTATCATCTACATTCGATAATGCTTACGTTCAATCCATTCGGTATTATTATAGACGTTTAATAGTAGTTTTCCGAGAGAACTTTAGGTTTGATGGCAATGTAGTGTCGGTTGACATGTTAAGCTCATATATCTTATTCTACGTTTCGCACAGTCCAATCCATTCATCCTAGTTGTCATATTTTGACCTTGTTAATTATTCGCTTATCAACCTTGACTGTTTTTATATGAGCGTGTGTGTACATTTCTTATCCTATTCATCACATGTCTGTAACTTATTTTTGTGTAACTATAAATATTGATTAACGCTTGACTAAAGAAAGTTGGCTTACCCGCCATCTTCACTGTGCGTCGTTTCGCTTACCTCTATTCCATTCGCTTCATACACAAAATATGTATATTCAAAAGTCCGTTCTTGTTATTTGACGCATTTAATGCCGTTATTGACTAACGCGAATAAAGTCGATGATTATATACGAGAATGGCGACATATACATTACGATAGCAATCATTCAATAACAACCGTTCAAACGACCTACTTCGAGTCAGATCTCGGGCAACCAAAGTGGAGAGCACGTCAACAATATCATCCGATCTAAATCACGACAAAATGGGCCCCACTAAAGTAATATATCCAATCAAATCCAACAAGGTGGTTATCTCAGTCAGAATTTTAACATTAGTCGCAATTATGTTGTCGTATTTGCGTAAGTTACCTATATTTTAAAATGGTAATGTAATGAGTAGTCAGAATAAGCTGTAAGACTTCAGATAACCTTACCGATATAAAATTTTAGTAGCGTGTGGACAGTAATGTTAGTCTACAAATAGAAACCAGTGACTCATAATACGGGTCATCTGCGTCTTATTCCTTCTGAGATTCAGAAATTCATAACCCATTCTATGAAAACAAATATTCATGTAGAAGCAATGTAAGAAGAATTGATGATTTGGAAAATGAGCTACCACTTCGAAATGCTGATTACTAAGACGTGAAATACAAATTTGCGAATGCATACATTATGGATCAATTTATGTGACCATGTTACTAACTTACTGATGTGTGGACGAGGAAAATGATTTATTATTTGCTTGGTCAAACTAGTTGATCGTCTGACATTTATTAGATGGATTATATATATTCTCTTACCCTTATTTTTATGGGATTGATGTCGGAATTTGGGGTGGAAATATACCTACGTTCTAGTCAGGCTAGTCACGTGTTCTTGATCTGAGTTATGTTATAGTACTGTAGAATAGACACTGAGAGGGTATCTAGCGTAGATATTCCTCAAAGGTAAATCAACATCCCATTTCTGTAGACAGGAAAACTGAGCGTTATAACACTTACTTTTTCAGTACTCAAAGATATGAACTGGAATAAAGTCTTATATCGACGTTTTATTAAGGAATGGTTTGTGTGAAATAACTGAAGATGGACCAACTATCATGAATGAGTGTAACACAATAGAAAGATTGCACCTCATGTTCCAAATCAGCAACAGGAAGTACGTTAAGCAATCATTCATAATTAGTCATTACTTGCAGGAGCGATTCCGAATTACTTTAGTACTGAGAGACTACCCACAAGCTACTTAGTACTGTAAACCCATATTCCTATTCAAGGAGTCACTTGAATAGAGGAAAAAAGGGCCAGTCAATAAAATTGTATGCTCGATTACATGGAATTCTAATACGATGAGAAAACTAGCCTTGAAATAGGACCGTCACCTTCAAACAAAAGATCACACAATGAGACTATAAATTTTAATGATAACGATTACTATAAATGTTAGCATGGTAGTCGCATTAAAAGTTTTGAGTGCCAGTAACGAACAAATTCATCGCAAACTTACTGAATAAGTCATTAAATATGTATACCGACTGACGAGTAATAATAGTAAACAGAACCATTTTGTAGTAAGAAAAAAACGGACATTAAGTTGGACTGAAATAGAGACAGTGAGAGTAATATCAGGATTGAACAGTTTCACAACTGTATGGTTCAAATGAATAAACATTTATAGCAATGTGAAAAGTTAGGATCAATCCCCACATTTAACTTTAGACGAGGTACTTAGATAAGTGTTTCGTGATCTATATTATTACCTCTACCAGCCATTCACAATAAAACAAGATCCAACGCTTTAAGACAATTAAAAACAGGCGTTCGAAAAAAACACTTGAGATGCTCTCACTGAATGCGACCAAAGAAGTCGTAGCAGATAGTTAGACTTCAAATAACACAGCATAGAACCTCACACAGTGGTGTGAACACATTTGCTGACTTTCCTTGTAGCATAAATGCCAACTTCCTTATACTTAGTTTGACAATTACCCTGCATCTAAATTTCCCTACTACCACCGATAAAACTCAAAACTTTGCGGCTTGTTTTCATAATTTTATTTCAGTGTACTAATAGGTTATGGAAACACATAGACACAAGTGTACGGCAAAGCTACACTGGATGTGACCGGATCGAAGTTGTAGAACAGAAGTATTGATGTCCTCAATGATAATAAGAAATACCTAGTAAGGATGGGAACGTCAACTGAACATAAAGCAGCTCACCAAACATAATTCAGCCGAATCTAGATTTATATAATACCGTTTCTTCTAAAAACTAGTATGATTGACTCATCGCTGCTCAATACAGAACTGGTTATGACTGAGTAATTGTAGCCGAGGATTCACCTATACAAAGATTTGAAAAGGCCGAGATATTACAGCTGATGAACCAAACTGTGACCATAAGAGCTCTCCTAGCCGATCTTATATCAGATTGTTGTCGACGTAAAAATGCAGCTGAATAACTACCGCGTTGAAAGTGCTTTGTCGTGTTTACCTGGATTGTCTCAAAAGCAGCAATTATAGTGTGCTCTCGAAAGCAGTGTCTTTGATCTAGAATGGGCAGATTGAACAGTCTGTTGCAGATACTTAGTATACATTCTTTAGTTAAATAGGAGAACCTACGCGCTCTAACACAGGAATCCACCCAAAAACCACATACGGACTGTTTTCTTCCTTCCTACAGAAACTAAGGCCCTGTGAAATTAGTTCTGGTAAACACACCCAGATGACCTAATAATCTCACTGGAAGTGAAAACTTACGAGTAGGGAAATTACACAGAATTCATTACACGGAACCCATGTAAGAGGGCTTTCAACTAGTCGTTAACGAATATGAAACAAGATACCCACAATTGCATAACCGGATTCATTTAGAACGGTAAAGACCACCTATTTTTGTGGATTCAGCCAACCATCTACACATCTTGTGTGACAAGATGTATTATGTCGACGTACCGAATGTTTTATATAACCAAACGCGTAATTAACAGGAACACCCCATAGAGATAATCCAGATTTCCTGTACATACAGATTCACGCAAAACGATTATTACAGTTCAGATTCAAACATTTCCTTGATCAGTGATAAATATGTCAATGAGTTGGACAATTCAAACGATTGATTCCATTTAAATGACGGATTTCAAGTAACATCTCACTAAGGATGTACAATAATACCCATCACATAAATTCATAATTTCAAACGCGTGTGATTAGTACGGGAATCATTGGGACCAGGCTATTCAACGATATTTGTTATACTGAGAATAAAAAGCAACAACGATCACGGTATTACTACCCCTGCCAGTTGTTGGTCAAAAACTTGTGAAGCAATCAAAATATTAATTTTTATCTCGTGATTTTATTTGATTCATCAAACAATTACAATTTCAATTTTGTTCTTCTCCAATGACGTCTTTTGGCATTATACCTGAAACAATTATGAACTACATATACCATAATTTACTTTATTTTGTTGCCAGTCTTTAATCGAACCCAATAAGGCAAAGTTCTGTTCTGTTTCAGCTTTTTCCCAAGCTTAGTTTTCATCCTAAACGTTTTGTGTGAACCCTAATAAAGCAGATATAATCAATACATCGAATTACCATGACGAAGATTCACGTAGAGCGGTTGATCGTACCGTCAAACTGAACAACTGTTGTGCATGTATTGTTGCATTCAATACTCAATACAAAAAATCTCTTTATGATGAGTTTCCACAAATGAATGAAATTTTTATATTGATATCCATGCATCGATGTCGTTCGTAGTTTTCCAAAGACTGCATGTCAGTATTTCTTGAATTTAGGTGGAGACAGTTGACATAATATGGTGAGAATTGTGGAACTAGTAACTTCCGACTAACCGGGCAGTTTACAATGTTAAAAAGAATAATTCCTCAAAATGTAAGGGTTGGTGAGCTTATTTCATTGATTCTAACTGTAAGAGTCGTATTGGTTAAATGTTTAGCAAGGTAGGCATCTTCACCACTACTTGTACATATACCATGAATTGCGCTTTTTCGGATATCCAAAATTCTAGTTTACAGAATAAAACCCTATGGACCCGTTACTTGTTTTATCGTTGCATACATTTTTCATATGTACTTAGATAATTTTTCCTAGATTTTCTCGAGTGCTTATACATGTTGATCTCATAAAGTCTGATTACATTTCTAATTTTATTTGAATTAAGACGGAAATGTCTTCTAATTTCGTATTCATTTAATTATGAACCTATTACATAGAACAATAGATCTGCGACGCAGAAGCCCACTCTCATATCTGCAAACTGATCGATCCATTTGCCCGATTCCTCTCAGTAGGGAAAATGTTCTATGAGAGATTAAAAACTTTACTAGATCTGTCTGTTTACTAACGCTAATTCTCATCCCTCTCTAGCCCTAAAGCAAGTTGCACGATGATAGTTGACCAATTTATGAGGATGTGTGGGCCTCTCCGCAACATATAACTACGACGCGTCCTGATAGCACGAATGTTGTTCGGAATGATGTAAGTTACCCATATACTAATTTATAATCAAAGCTTATTGTGATAATAGTCCTAGTCTAATCTTCCTCGAAAGGTTCTGGCCGTTCTTATCACTTTCGAAACTCATGCAGTCGGTGAACTAGCTTTAACTGTCAACCACATTATGGAGATCTCAAGAATCCTCACAACTGAGATTTGTCATGTCAAGTGAATGCTACCTCCTGTGACACGTTAATTAACATTCCA